GAGCAAAAGAGAATAAGAGCCATGCGGACCCACAAACCGCTTCGGACAGCAACGACCAACCACGCGTGTAAATTAAAAGAGAGCCACCTGGACATAAGTGGGAATGTACAATGAAACCACTGCCACCCATCATCAAAGGACCAAAAGGCCCCTCAAATCCAGACAAATCACGGCATAACCGGCTCATCTGCACTGTTCACAAGGCGTTGGACGCTTTATATATGTAAGACTAGTTTTTGGGCCCTGCGCTTAGTGTTGGGGGTGATGGATTTTATTGTGTGATGGGGGTGTTAATAGATAGTCAAGGTAATATGTTGCTGTATTATGACGTTTTGGGATATATAAGTAATAAACAAATTATGTTAATATTTGATCTTTTATACACACTATAAACAAGAAACAAAAACATGGAGTAGCTAATAGAAAAGAGAAAAAATACAATATATATAGTCAAAAACATCATCATAGATATTCACATGAGAAATGACTAACTATTATATAAAACAAAACATCACACCAATAACTCAATTATTTGATTTTTAAGCAAAAAATAGCAATCACATGTACCGATGCATTATTGCTCATATCTAACGTTTATCAATGCACCATATCTAAAATTGTTACAGAAACCAAACATATAAGAATAAAAATGTTCAACAGGGAAAATATCAAATAAAAATACATTGCCAAAGATAAGAACTAAAATATGGATTAGAAAGTGATCCTACCATTTAGAAATATTTAAAAGAAATATAGTCAAAAAAGAAACAACCGTAGCTATAAAAGCAGCTTTAAGTGTTTACATTGGTTATTCATCAAATGTTTCCTACGGCAGCATGGACGTTAATCTATCAGGTATGTTTCTGTCTAAGTTCCTGGTCTTTCAATAACATTGTATATAGAACATTATATCAAACAAAAAGAATTCGATTATGCTCACTGAAAACCTGATGATCCACAGATACTGCTTCCTCCACAAGACATCAGATCGAAGACCCAGTTCCAAAGTTATGCTTTGTAATATGGCACAACGATACGTGCAATCCGGTACTCATTCAACCTATATTTATAGCTTTCTGTGAAAAATATTTCAGACAACTGGATCACTCTATTGTATTTACAGAAGATTCCAACCTCGTTCTTCAATGCCATTCAACAACGAATTGAAACTACAATATTTGTCAAGCATGGACACAGAGAATGGCCAATCCAATTACAAGGACAATATTTCACACTTGGGTAGAATGCATATATAATGGACAATAATATACAAAACTATTATCTAATTTTATTTTTATACAATACACAAAACAGTTTTGACACTAATATTTAACGAACACCAATTCCAAAACTATCTACCATGGACAGGTCCCTTCTCAACGACAAACACAAATTCATCTGCTATGAACCGAGGTAAGACCATCTTTTGTTAGAAAAGTATAAATGATTTTCATAATTGAATCTTTGCTAGCAATTTTATTGATTCATGTATTTCAGACGCAGGTGAACGTCCACCAATGGATAGAACTTATTTCTCATCAATAAGTCCAAACTTTCACCAAACGCTGACAAAAAACATAGCTTTCTATCATGTATATTCTATCAATGACAGGCTTCAATTGGTAAGTTCGTCATCTTTTACTGAATTCAGAACAGACTACATTTGACAACATAAAACATATTATGTATAGTAACACTATTTTCAATAACTTTTGCAGAAAATTCCTAAACCTTTGAGGCAAGGAATAAATGCAGAACGAACACCATTTCTGAAGCTTACTACAGGCTGCAAAACCATTTCAACGACCATAGAAGGCAAATACATCAGAGACAACTGGAACGTCTTTACTGAGAAACATGATATGAAGCCAGGCCATACTATCGTATTTCTTGCCATTGCAAAAGCTGAATATACAGTTCTCATATTCAAAAACACTAACGTAGAAAGAATATATCCTTGGTACCACTGTCACTACACTTGAATGACTACAGAATTCACATATCTATTCATCTATAATAGGTGAATAGACAGAGGTGTTGGTATAATAGGTCATGGAACTATATATGGTCACACAAGTTGTAGCTAGAGAGGTGAAAAAATCTGGAACAGATTGTACCAAAAGATGTGGTGTAAAGGTATTAATAAAGATTGTGTAACGTTGGTTCAAAAGAGTTATTTTTTATACAACGTTACATTGTTAACCATGTTCACAAAAGTTGGAGTTAGACATACAAAATATCTGGAACAGATTGTACCAAAAGATATGGTCTAAAGGTATTAACAGAGATTATGCAACGTTGGTTCAAAAGAACTGTTTTTAGATAGTATTACATTGTTAACCTTGTTTTGGCTGTTTGCTGTCTTTGTCAGGTTTCAGTTCTAGTTTGCGTTTAGCAGAAGATCTTGTTGTGCATGTGGTGTTTGTGGTAGTGATTTGAGAATCTGCCAGCTTTGAAGTTGGTGTTGGCTCTGTCTGATTGCTTGGAGCTTCAATAGATTGTTTTTCAGATGTCAAAGATGTGATGGATTGACCTAGGACAATGGTGATGGATGATTCTTCATGTGGGTTGGCTTCAATTGTAGGGAGAGGTTGTTGGGAGACAGCAACATAGGAGGAGAGAAAGAAGCTTGGCAATCCTTGTGGAGTGGTACGGTTGGAGCTGGTTCTTATCTGACAGTAGACAGGCTCTGAAAAAAGTATATCATTGATGGTTTGGATTGGAATTGTTTGTCCCTGTTGAGGAGAATGAGATAAGAGAGTTTTTTGGATTATTGTATATATTTGTGAAGTAGTCTAAAAATTAGATTGTATAACTTAGTGGTTCTCACAGATGATGTTTGTTCATAGATTTGTGTTGCTGTGAGTCCAATTATGCTCTCTGCATAATTGTCTTGGACAAATGCATCCAAATGAGCTGAATCATCAGATATCTGGACAAATAGTCTGGCCCTGTGTTAGAGAATTTTGGAGTGTGTTAGAGATGGGAAGTAATATATTAATGTAGACAGAGATGTGTAATAGAAAAATGATATGCTGATATATGAAGATGGATAATTGTAGATTTATATGTGTGCAGAGGTATTGCTAGATGGATAGATAGAATATGTATACATAGAGATATATATATATGTGTGTAAGTATGATGAATAAGAGTTGTTTTTTGCTGTGAATGGGATAATAACTTACTTGGGGATGGGTTTTGTTTGACTCTTGTTACAATTGTGGCATGAGAATTGAAAGTCCATAGGTGCATTGGTGGTACAACCACAGTCAGTACAACTACCAATATAGAAGTGCTGGCGAGAATTTGTAATCTGGATTGTTCCTTTTATCCAGAAATCTTTTGGCTGGTCATATATAATTTAAAATGAGTTTGATACATATTTATAATGGTACGAATTGAATATAAAGTAAGCTTGATGTCTGCAGTGAAGTTAATGTATTAACTTACCAGAATGTATGCACCAAGAATTAGTGAGATCTGTCGAATCTTTTTTTCAGGGAGGGGCTTGATCTTTTAGTTTGCTTTTTCGTATAGTCTTTGTGCTTTTATCTTGTCAATGTAGTTCTTGTTTTCTTCAATCCTGTACAAAGCAATGGTATTAACAGTGGTATCTTTATTAATTTGTATTATATGAGTAATGCTTATATAGAAATGTAAGTAATGAAGGAAGTTTGAGTGTAGAAGTGTATATACCATCCTGCCAATGTGCTGATTTGTGGAAATGAAGGATCAAGGAGTATATTTGTATTTCCTTTGGTTCTTAGAGTGATGCCTGTAATAATATGGAAGCTGTGTTAGAATATTTGGTTTGTAGATTTTGTGATATAGATAGAAATGTTTGTGTTTTGTAAAATATACCATAGAAAGTGGTTACTATAGGCCTGAAAATCACAACAACTGGGTAGGTATGTGCAATTTGAAAAAGTTGAGCTCCTTCATTATCCACAAAAGGTTCCTAGAGTGTGAGCACAAGTGGACGTTGTCTGTGAAAGTTAGAGAAATAGAATGAAAGTTCAAATCATTGGATGTTGATGATTAGCTAAGATAAAGCATATAAAAATGTGATTTTGCTTACTCTTCATTGAGAACAATGAATTCTTGGATAACAAATGGTTTGGGTCTACCAATCATTCTTTGAGGTAATGCTTGAATGACAGCACACATGATGTCTGTTCAGTGGTTAGCATTGATAGAAATGGAATCAGGACATGAAGTGATAATTTATATAGAGTAAATTTAATGAAGGGTTAGTTGTGTACTCAGTCTTTGGTCATATTTTCCTTGATATTGGTCCAGGTCCCAGAATGAAGCAAGGGGGAAATACATTGGCAGTGACATTGGTAAGGGAGTTCCAGCTTGTTGGATGAAGGACCTTTTGTCAAACGTTAGCTGAAGAGGTGTTGTACCCATTTGATGGCGGGAATCTTGAATTTTACTGATGTATGCACCACCAACATAGTATGATGTCTCTAGTTTGAATATGTCACCAATATAAGCCAGGTCTTGTTGATAGATGATGCCCTGAACCGTGTCATTCTGTAAAACATAAATTGCAGGTTACAAGAATATAAATAGATGATGGAAGATGGTCTTGTTATATAATTTATAGGAAAGTTAAATACTGGTTTATTGTATGTATTGGAGATATATATGTACCTGATCGTCTGCAAATAAGAGCCGTCGATATGCCTTTGTTCTTGGAGTTGGGTCAAAGACTCTTGTCAACTCTATTACATAAAGTTTGGCAAACCATTGGCGTTGTTTCTCCTGGAAGTCTTTTATTAAAATGCATCTGTTATCCATGACTGCAAGAAGAAGTGTGGCAGTGATAGTGTTATTGGGAAAAGAAAATGTTATTGTGAATGAAATAGAATGTAAAATGTTGATATAAAAGATATAATATAAGGGAAAAGAAGTATTTTTGTGTATTAGAACAACCAAGTGAATAAAGCTGAAGTCAGATGTTAATGATAGAAATTAAAGAGAGACAGTACTTAGACAACACCAGTGATTGATATGACTTCATTGTATACTATGTTTCTTGTAGAAACTGTGTCAGTCTGCTCATCTGGAGAGGGCCTAACTAAAACTCTAACATCATTTACTGTTTTAGCTCTAGATAAAGCAACATATAGCTGACCATGGCCAAATACTGGTTCTTTTAAGTACAAGCCAACGAAGTCTAGTGTTTGTCCTTGTGCTTTATTAATAGTCATGGCAAAACAAAGTCTAACTGGAAATTGTGTTCTCTTGAAGGGTACTATATAGATATTAGTGTCAGAACACTGTAATGAGATTTTCGGAATAAAGACTTGTTTTCCAGTATGATTTCCGACAGCAATTAGTGCATGGATCACATTTGGAGCAAAACCAAGACAGACTAATCGTGTTCCGTTACATAAACCTTCTTTTGGGTTCAAGTTTCTAAGTAATATAATGGGACTATTGACTTTTAGAATGAGTTCATGTGGTGGCAGGCTTGAAGGTTGTAACGAATGCAAAAAGACTTCATGTTCTGCTTGTTTCGATCGGTCTATAGTTTCATCATAACTTAGATATCTGTGTTCTGTGCCAGGAAACTGTGCTATTAGGAGATTATTTATGTCATGCACAAAATCATTTTTAGTAGTTAGTATAGCTCTGTTAAGTGTATGCAATGAGTGTGGACCAAATGCCGTGAGGTCAGGAAAGACACTATTGATCAGAGCAGAAAGTGAAGATTCATCATCAACAAAAGGTATTGTAAGATGGTGTGACAATACTATTCTCGAGTCATCAAAAGAAGGCAAAGTTCCGTTGCCAAGAGGCAGAAGAAATTCTGAGAATTATTTATCTAAATGTGCACGCATGTTTTCAACCAGGTGGAGTTTTTCAAGATGGTTCCAAACATAAGATTTTACCAAGCTGGCAGAAATGTAATCTTCATTGTAACCTTTGACGACAACAAGTAATGTTTGACGAAAGTCGCCACCAAATACAACAACCTTGCCACCAAATATTGTATCTAAATCCATTATATCCCTCAGTAGCTTGTCGAAGCACTCAATAGCATATTTTTTAGCCATTGTGGCTTTGATCAGTTTGGCTTGTTTGATCAGTCTTGCACTGCTACTTTGTTTGTTAACGTTACACGCACTGTCATCATTCTCATGAATTGGAATCTTAAATCTTGAGTGAGCTATACGTCCTCCTGGAAGAATAGAAGCAGCAACGCCGCATGACGCTGTGGCTAATGCAATTTGACCTTTAGACCTCACAGTTGCTAGTAAAGCCTTATATAAGAATGTTTTGCTTGTTCCTCCTGGTCCATCTATGAAAAAAGCTGCTGATGTGTTATTGTCAATGCTATTGATGATTTTATTATAAGCAGATCGTTGATGAGGATTGAGAAGAGCAACTGATGCTATGTCCTCGGTAGAAACTTTGATGTCTAACTCAGCCTCTATTTCTTGTGTGTCTCTTTGAATGGAAAAGTCATCAGTGTTAGGGACGACTATCTTGAAATCAGCAAGATGTTTGCCCATATATTGCAGATGAGAATCAATGAGTTGGAGAACTTTTAGTCTTATCTGTTCAGCTGATAGAGACTTGTCTTTAGAAATGTCTTCAGACAGGTATGGTTCAAATTTCTGCCATAGTAACATTGGATTGGGAGGTAGTACATAGACCAGAATGAGAGCAAATAAGTGACGAAGAGTATAAGGCATCTGAAATGATACAGCTTCAAGTAAACATTGTTCAGCACTGTCATCAATCTTTAACAAGCCTAGAATTTCTGCAGCTTCTCTAAAAATTGAAGCTGTTCTTGAGCCGATGTGCTTTAGACTTTCATAAGACTTAGGCCCTCTGACATGCATTAGTAGCATCCGTAAGTAGTATTTTTCACCTTGAGTTGGATGCACTGTAGTTAGTCTTCCAATTGTACTTCTTCTTTGTCTCGGTTCCCATATTTTGTGAGTTGCATTCCAGACAAAATGTTGAGGAAAGTCTTTATAAAGACATTTGAGCTCTTTTGCATGTCCATCTGCACTGTTCATTCGAAAAAATTCTGTAAGCATGGTTCGTGACATTTGTTCATCCACTACAACTCTCTCCAGAATATCATCCTCATTAGAAACCATTGACTGTTCTCCTTCTAGGTGTATCTGTAATGGCATGACAGATGGATTCAAGTTACTGAGGTCGAAAGCAAATATTCGCCATGCTGCTTCTGGTGCACATATCCATCGTCCAGATTGGAAATTTTTTATTTCATCAATTGCTTCATCATTCTCTGCTGCATTAAGCTAATACAGTATCTTTGAGTGTCCTTTGTAGATATATTTGTAAATATATTTAACAGCATCAATTGTGGAACAAACTTCAACATTGATGTGGCAATCATACTTGGCAAGTAAGTATGGATTGTAGGGAACTACCCAACGATTGTCGAACTGGAAATGGCGAGCTGTGACAGTCTTTTGATCATAACGACGCATGTAAAGAGGGTATGAATTCTTATTATGTCTTGTGAATTCAGCAAAGTCCTTTGGATAGGCAAATTTGCATTTTCCATTTTGCTTCATACATGGACTGTTTTTATTAGCTGTTCCGCATGGTCTATGCAACATGTGAGCAACTACGACAGAATGCAGATATGGGAAAGAAGCTGGATCTGGTAATTCTGCAGATACAACACGATCATAAGCTTCAGGTGAGTCCAATTTCCATCCATTTGCAAGGATTATCAAAAAGTGTGCATGTGGGAGACCTCTCTTCTGGAATTCTATAACATGTGTATGCTGCAACTTTGCCAAAAAAGCCTTTTTTGATAATATCATTTCTAAGCATCTCTAGTTTCGCGCGAAATACTCTTGCAGTTACATCAGGTCTATTGTGTGCCTCTTCGCGATCAGAGAGATGTTTCTTGATCTCAGGCCAAGCTGGATTGCAGGTCATTGTTAAGAATATGTCAGGTTTTCCATACCGTTGGACCAGTGTCATGGTGTCCATGTATCTTCGTTTCATATCTCTAGGACCTCCAATAAAAGAAGCAGGCAAATATATTCGTCGACCAACATTTGATCCAGATGTTTCTCCATTTGCAATACTGTCTAAAATTCCTTGGTAAACATCTGTTCTAATCTGTCGCTGCCTATTTCGATGAAAATCCAGTCTTGCTGATTCTATCTTTACGTATGTATCAATGCAGAATTGCTGGAACAGTCTCCCACAGTGTAGCAATAAGGATTTGTCAATTTCATGCATTTGAAATTTGTAGCAGTAGTATTCACGACAAGAGACAGTAGTCCTTTTTTTCTTTTTTTTCTGCAAAACTGATGGAAGACAACAAAGTTGTGAACAAATATGATAGACTATATGAAGGAGAAAAGGATAGTAGCAAGGACTATACATAACATATATCATATTTTATCAATTACCTGCATTCTCAGCTGAAATTATTTCTTCTGCAGAAGAATGACGTCTTATATGCATATTATGGCCCTGACATGTCATGGAACGTTGAACAGATTGTTGATCTTTAGAAATTCTTTGTATACCTTCATGCCATCCAGTCTCACCTCTTGCAAAAATTAATGGATACTGTAACGTGTCATAACATCCAAAATAGTGTTTAATGATTTGTGGTTTACCACTCCTTGGATATACTTGTATATGCTGGGAAGAATCTCCTATATTAAGGTCATGTTCTGTCCATATGGCAGCCACTTGAGAAACTGTTGGAGTGTTATACACACGTTGGTCTAGAGAAGGGTGTGAGTTTAAGAAGACTTTATGATTATAAATGTCTTCAAAGTTTCTTAAACTACGAAAAAATGCAGCATAGGGATTGTGATCTAGGAGCTGCTGCAGCTGCTGGAGAATAGTTTCTCGGAATTTGTTAGAAATTGCCATTCGATTGGCAATTTCATGCTCAGTATCAAAATAGTATAACTGCACATTTGATGGTTTGTGGCCATCCATGGGAACCAGTGGATTGAGAAAGTGATACATTTGGCCCTGCACTCTGAATGCATAGATTCCTCTGTCTCTCTTATTCAACTCCTTATCAGAATGAACTCCCAGAGACGTGAATGCGAACATGTTATTATAGCTTCTGATACATTGGCGAAATTCAATTGCTTCCGGAGTATTAGCAGTGTAGAGTTTTGCTAATTGAGCAGGCATCTCTGTCTCAACTAATCGAATTTCACCAGAAGCACAGCAAAAACCAGGTGGCTCAAGATAGAAACGTTTAGCACCACAGAAAACACAATCTTGGACAAAAGGTAAAACAGAGGGTTGAGTAGGAATCCTATCAATGCGTTGGTTTCTTTTTTTAACCTTTTCCTGATGACCTAAGAAAGGGATATTGTTCAATTATATGTCGTAGATATAGATCTATTTATTGACTATCTTAGGTAATAGATAGAGTTTTCATGCGTACCATCATTTTGTTTTGGCATGTTGTTGGTAATTTGAGAGCTGCCAAAGACTGTTTCTTATTGAACTGGATATAAAGAGTAAAAGATGGATGAAGGTATTTAGAAAAATTTGGATGAAAGTGATAGTTAATAGTGGCAAAAATTATAGCACTGACAAAGGTATAAATACCTCTAGTACTGGGTTCACTACTGGGTCCATTTATAACATCACAGCAGACGTGGTTGTTAGAAGATGAACAGGCTGCATTATTCGTAGACAAAGATTCTCAGACAAGACATGCATATGTTTTTATTTTTTAAAGAAAACAGGTGCATTGAATGGTTTGTTAGATGAAGTATATATGAATGACTAAACGAAGTGTCTTACTTGGTGAAGCTAGCTCAGATGTTTTAGGGACATCTTCGGATAGCAGAGAGAGTGGTAGGCTTATGTTTTATGAAGCATCAGACAGCTGATTCTGGGAAAGCAATGACACTGGAGTGGAGGATAAAGTATTCTTACTTTGAGGTTTAGGTGGATTTTTAGCATGAACCATTGGGCCAACCATAGACGCCCTAGCTTGCCTATGACGATGATTCTTGTGTAGACACATTTCTTCATACGAAGCATACTTTCTTTTTCGTGGCATGGTCACAAAATAACTATCGGAAAGCGATAAAATGAATAAAAATAATAATTGTTTGTGCTGGGCAATAAAAAATGTCAAACAAAAGGATGATTATATCGTTTTGACGTGTAAGTTAGTGAAACATTATATACATTAGCTAAGGATTACATGCATAGCAAGGAAATAATAAGTAAAAGCTGATGGCATGGTTCTTGACAATGGAACTGGGTACAAAAAGTAAGTGTATGATGCAAGAGTTATAGGTAAGAGTTATGTACGTACCAGTTAACGTCCCAGAAAATTGATTTGTCTTGCTAACTTTGAATGATTAGGAATAGGTGGTGGAAAGAAACTGGTTTCTCTTAGTGGCTTTGAGCAGTTAGCAAAAGCTGGATGTTGGATGAGCTGAAAAAACCAATACAAAGAATTATAAGCAGCAAAGTAGATGATAGGCGGAAAGGAAAAACAGATGGCTAGTACGTAGACAAAAGAGCAATAGATCCAATATTCATTGCTGGAACAATGGATAACATGATGGAGACAGAGATGTAGCGGAACTCTAAAACAACAGAGGCAAGAACAAAAGAATAGTACCGGGATGGAATCACGTCGAAGGTAGTAGCAAAAACAACATCAAGAGCATGGAACACAGAAATGGATACTAACTGGGTGGCTTTCAGAGGAGGGAAAAGAGATGAAGCGTAAATAGGAGTCATACAACAAAGGATAAATAGAAGTAAACATGTATAAACTGGAGAAAAAAAGCACGAGGGAAGAATATTCAAACGACAAGATGATAATTATGGGATACAAAAATTACCCCGATAATTGGTAACAAAAGAGGAAAATATATAGTGGACTGAAAATGGACACGTACAAGTGACTAAAAAAGACTACTTCATAGACAATCACTATCAGCAATTAATGAGCTACAACATTAAAGGGTGTGCAACAAATTACCACTTGAGATTGCTGCACAAAGGCAAAGGGTTGAGAGCAGAGTACGTGGAATACAAACATCGACAAATGTACCATAAGGGCAAAGAATTTAAAAGGGGCATTAAAGTTATATTTATAAGTTATAAAGTTATAAACTATATAACAAGAGGAATAGTCTAGTTAAGGTTATACAAGGGTAATAAGGTAAGTATATTCCACTTTTATATATTGGGACTGCATGAATGGAGCACAACACTGGGAACATAGAGACAGTGAAGACTGAAGACCAAGGACAAGTAAGCCAGACGGTGCAGGGCCATTAAAGCGCAATATCTTTGTTGGGCATTATAATTTAATTTCTGATTTGTGATTGCTGATCAGCAAACGGTACAAGCAAGAAGCTATTGCAACAATTGCAAGGCAAATATGTTGGAAAGACCAAAATAGCCCATGAAGCCATGAGAATTACGATGGAAACCGGCCCATTGTTGTACTGTAGCTAGAGGTGGCAAAATGGGCGGGATGGGCGGGATTTGCTTGGGTTTGAGATGGAACCGAGTCATATGGGTTTGGGCCCAACCTTACCCATATGTGTTTTGGGACTAACTTGGGCGGGATCATTTTGGGATGGGTTTAGATTGATCCCGCCCAATACCCAAATCCATTTTCTACATATTTTTTTTCCTTTAATTCATTTTTTATTTTTATATAATTTTTATATTTTTGATTTATTAAATTTCTTTTAGTTTTATTAAATAAACATGCAAGTGCTTTATACTCAAGATTCCTACCAAAAATTGGATTAACAAATAAAGGAAAAGATAGATATACAGCCATATTCCAACATATATCAAGATGGCCAAGGTTCTTATGATGTTGAATATTTATCCTTATCATTGTCCAAGGATGACAGGTCTAAACTAACTGAAATGTTGGAAATTCTTGTGGATAATGACTAGGAAGACTACTAGATTATATTCGCTGGTATGACTATAAAAATTGTTAAAGATAATTTTTGAATCTAAGATTCCGTTTGGATTGACTTTTTTTTCAAAAAATAAGTTTTTCAAATACAATGTTACAGTAATATACAATAACTCAAGAAACATCCCATCCATATTAATATATCAAATATTTCAAAAAAATTTTATAGTAAAAATTTTTCATATACACTGCTACAATAAAATATTTCAAAAACACCTACCAAAAACAGCTAATCCAAACGGAGCCCTTGCCATTTGAGCCCAATGGGTACCCAAGTATTTCCCATCCTTTCCCATTCATTAATGGGTATAGTTGGGATGTGTCCCAACTTAAACCCAATACCAAATTATAATACCCATCCCGCCCAAAGTTCCTTTGGGCATGGGTAGCCCATTGGGACTTGGGACAAATTGCCAGCTCTAACTGTAGCTAATGGTCGTTCCCCCTTTTATATATTTTAGATAAGAGATAAGATATATATATATATATATATATATTTTAGTATAAGTGGAGAGGGTTTGAATTCGAGACCTTTCAATTACTCTCTTTCCCTAAAAAGATAATACATTCATTTCAATATTTATCTCAAAAAGAATGCATGAAGACAAGAATTGGACAAAGGTTTCGTTTGAAATTGCAGTGACTTATAACGTATAAAAAAAAGTACTTCTAACACAAGTATTTTAATAAAAGGTCCTTTTATGTTATTGAAAATTGAACTTTTTAAATTATAGGAAATTAGTTTTTAAACACTCTAAAAGTACTTTTAGAGTCTAAAAGCGCCCTTTTTTGTAGGCGCACTGCGACCCTAAACGGAGCTATCATTGGGCTTGGATCGTTTTGATATCAAATTCTTAATAGAAAATTCATGTATGCTGTGTTTTTGCGAAGGTAGAAGCTACAAATGCACACATTAGCCTATTGACCAGGAATACAATTGTCTTCTTTAAATAAGTGTTTGAAAAAAAGTAAATTTTAAATTTTAAATGTCAAAGAATTAAAACCGTTATGAATGCAAGTGATAGATTAATTAGTGGATGCTTAAAGAAATGGTTAATTATAGTTTGTCCTCTTGAACTTGATCATTTATAACACTTTGCCCCCTTAAGCTTTAAATATATACATTTTACCACTTTCATTAACTAGTCAAACATTAATGATAAATTCTCCATTCAAAATTTTAATAAAATGATATTAATGTCCTTACAATTATTATGCGCATTTAAAAATTAGTTAGAAGCTATTTTGGTCATGAAAAAGATAACTTTATTTTAACACGATCAAAAAGTTGACCACAAGAGATAAAATGCACATATTTGGAGTTTAGGGAATAAAGTGGTACAAGTGCCCAAGTTCAAGGGAGCAAAGTGTAATTAACCCTAAAAGAAAATAATGTACTCTTTCAATGAAAACTCCCAAAGCCATTGCACCGCCCCTTTTTCTTTTGTTTTTGGGCCACCTTAATTAATGCCCCACATTTAAGTGCTGACCTTCTTTCTTTTTTTTAAGTACGTAAAATCGGTTGTTCTTGAAAACGAACCCCGTCTAAAACTTCAAATACAGGATCTTTTACAGAGTTTACTCCTCCGCCTTCCATTGCAATTTAAGCTAAAAACCCTCGTTACTCGAGAGGGGGAAAAATGGGTAAAAGAGAGAACCAGAGCTCCAAAGGAGCTCTATTTCAAGCTAAACAGTAGCCATTGCTGGAACAAAAAAATACCTAGCCAGCGTCAAATTATACATGTTAATATACAACGGACAAAGATCAAAAGGAAATGGGTTTCCTGTCTGGCCATGATTCAATCTTCTGAAAATATTTCGCTGGTACAACACCTTCAAAACCCTCAGTCAAGATCACCTTGTTGTCTGAGATATAAAGTTTCATTCCCTCTGAAACACGTTAGAAAGTAACAATCATCGCATATTGTTGTAAGAAAACTAGAATGTAGTAACATATTCTTGCTTGCTTCCCAGAAGTGAACAAGACTCACCTTCCAAAGCTTTTCTCACATCAAGAAAGATCAGGATATTTACATCTCGTCTCATACCTGTCAAAGTGATCTTATATCAATCTGGAATGTACATGACAAAACTATCTTGAAATCTTCCAAATTTGATCTTAACTACAAATTGACTCAAAAAGCATTTCATATCCAGCCCGCTAACAAATAAGTTTTGTCAGCTCTAGGATAATGTCTCTGTACTTCACTAGGCATTAAAGAAGCATATAATTTATGAGAAGCATATTTCTTACTGCATTTAGAACTAAACGTAACCACCACCAGCAGTTGAGAGCAATTCACTTTTTGGAAATTCATTATTGACCAAAGCAATTTGAGCTTCTGAAAGGAATCAGTGTGATTCGATGTAATTAGATAATAGTACATTGAAAATAGCCCTCATTTCTGTTGGATTCTTTTTGAGGTGAATTCCCTTCTTGTCCATGGTTTACCAAAAATAAAAATAAAAAGAATAATTCACTGATAGACAAAATTACTCATGTTACAAGAATAACAACACAATGCCATGCTTTAATCAATTAATCTAATAACTTACCACTTATTACTTCACCATCTGTCGGCAAACAACATGAAAAGTGGACATGCACTCTCTTCATGCGTTTCAGCCCTTGTTCCAAAATTGATTCCAAATTTCTCTTGTACATCCCGTGTACACAGACTAAATATAAACATGTAAAAGAACTTTATAACGCGGTATAAAAAAACTATGTTTGAGAACAAAGTTCTATTGGTCTAGTGCGCTCACCTGGAACTTCATCAGCAGAAAGAATAGGCTTCAACAAGCTTTCAGTTTCAACTGTCTGTAAAGTGCCAATCCACAAGAGAAAAAGATAAAATAAGATCAATGTTATGGCTTAAAAAGGTAAAGTTAAGCGCAGATGTTGCATGAGGCAAACAAATGTTCCAGGAAGATAGTCAGTAAAGAGGTAAATTACCGACAATATACAGCAGAAAGAGATGCCAGTTATTTAAAGTTGCAATAAAGACCACATCATAAACTTCTAGTTGTGATCTAAAATCTAAAATTTTAGAAAGAAATAAAGCAAGAATTCTCAATTATAGACACTATAAGTATTTTCATTTTAGTGAGATCAGTTAATTCAAATTAGCTTGCTGAATAGTACTATTATTTGAGTAAAACAAATATTTTGACAAATTCCTCATCTCTTAGCAGAAATGAACTATAATTTCACAGTCAACTTAGGAACTCAATGGTTATACTCTGAATTTCCTAGTACAATCCACATGTATTCCTTCTCGAAAATACAAATTCCACCACTTGCTTACAGTTAAGGATACATAGAATGACTTATTTATTTTGGATCCAAAAATAGATATAGGTAGTATTTGTCTTCGATACTAGTTATTTGTAAACTTCAAAAGCACCAAATAAGAATCAAGTAAGATTCAAAATAAGATTCAAAAATCAAGTTACCTAGGCAATTACAAATCAGTAAATAAGAATAAGCCAGAATGAACTGATCCACATTGCATTTGTTAACCTTCCCAAGAATGACATAGAAGCAGAAGAAAACTAGTGACAGACATAAAGAAAAGATTTTGCCAGAATATTAACAAGGGTAGAGGCACAGTGGGCAAATTTATCCTTTTCAAGATTTTCTATCAAAATCTGTTTTAGCAAGAATAGAATCTCCATTTTCAGGGTACATTACTGTGATTGTGTGGCCTTGGTTTGCACGTATCCAAAGCTCTCCATTTTCTTCCACCAGGCTAAATCTTTGTTTATTGTCTCTCCTGACAGCCTAGAAAATTTAAGAAGATAACAAATAAGTCTAGTACTCAGTGATTATAGAAAGCAAATGAAGTAAGAAATAAACAAAATCAGTGTGTCCATACAATGTACCAAAGCCATCATTAAGATAATAGACAGCAGAATCATGACTAGCAATATTGACTGACGTTTCTAGTTATAACATACAACTGAATGTTGAGATCCAATCCTTCTTCCTTTTTCGATCAGAATAATTGTCTAATTTAATTTCAACATCCCAATTTACAATATATTTATGATCTAAAGTGAAAGTTCAGGTTGTATACCTCTCGGACCTCATCAACAGTATGTGATCTTAATGGAACATTGGCAAACGTTTTCAAACTAAGCTTCAACAAGTCGTCAACCTTAACAAATCCATCATTCCTCATGTTCAAGTTTAACTCAGAAGCCATATGCCGCAAAACACGTGTTCTGAAACAATTTCAGACAGAAAATGTTTAAGCATAAATCTCAATTCAAACAATTAAAGATGTCAAAGACGCATAATGCTTGAAAAGCCCTTAGCAGCCATGATCAAAGCTAACCAAACAGAACAACAAAATCCACGCATGACCAAGATTATAACAAAATATACATAAGATAAATCTTCGTAGGATTCATTAACAAACTGCCCAAAATACGATAATAAGTTATCAGCCATTATCAAACAAACTGAACAAAGCAAGAAAAACCAGTCATTTATCATCTCGAAATTAAATAAAGAAAACACAAAAGATCAAAATTTTTAGTGGTTTTACTCACAGAAGCCTCCCAAGTGCATCAATTTTATCTTTTCCACCGCCACTGCCACCGCCACGGCCTCTGTGCCTTTCTCTAGTAGCATTATCTTTCATACTATCCAAACCTCTTCCTCGACCTCCACTGCCAAGAATCCACAACAAAAATTTAGCAACACAAGAAATACAATGAACACAAATCTTGAGGCAATATCCAGTATTACTACAATTCAAAGGTAGAGAGAAATATTTACCTGCGCGAGGAATGAGAGAAAGTAGTAGATGAAGAGGAAGACTGAGAAAAGCTATTGTGATGGGGCTCCATGAAAACTACGAAGTTAAAGCGCGTCAATAGACGAGAGGATGAGGCGGAAGTAGATACCGGCGGCAGAGAAGCAAGGCGGTAGCGCAGAAATCGTATGCTATTGCAAGTAAGAGTAGCCCACATCGATGGATGACCCGGGAAGAGCTGCTACTATGGAGGGAAGGAGAAGCAGGAGACTTAGGCTTCGTTTGGGAGTGGAGGATTTGGACAGAAAAGAAAGGGAAAGAAGAGAAAGTTAACTTTTCTTTCATTTGTTAGTTTTTAGTAGGAAAGAAAAGAAGGGGAATTGAAGGATTAAAGAGGATGAATAGTAGTTTTTAGTAGGAAAGAAAAGAAGGGGAATTGAAGGATTAAAGAGGATGAATAGTAGGCAAAATTTTTCCTCCCAAATTGGAGAGAAATGGAGAGAAAGTTAGAGGAAGCTTAAGAGAGTTGGAGGAATGGACAGCCACCGGTCGCGGCGATTTTTTTATCACAAAATTTCACCAAAATACACCCCCTCATTCTATTTTTCATGTAGAATTCGTTTTTGAAGTTAATTTTTATAAAAAATGACCCAAAGTGGCCAAAATGCCAAAACTAGCCCAGTTTTTTATTTTTTAAAACACTATAACCACTACTAAGAATCATAAAATTTATATCAAAACACTCTTTATGATTTTTACAACATAACTATGAGCTGAAATCAATAAAAAGCAACAACAATATAACAAAATTAAAATAAAACAGTCCAAAAATGAAGAAAAATTATTCACATGCTTCTAAAGTTCAAAACTTCAAAATGTTTGAGCAACCCCACATTTTCAGGCCTTGCACTAACCATAATAATCTATTTTAACAAAAAAATATGCACAATAATGGGTACTTTAATTCGATTTCCCATTTAAACATTTTTTCAAACACTTGACATGCATGCACACAAAAAATTTCCCTTTCCTCAATTTAGCTCAAGCCATTTCCCAAATTTTTAACAATACAACAACAACAATGCAAAACAGTAAAAAAGGAGAAAATAAGCAACGAAATATGAATTTAATATGAAAAACAAAATTGAAAAAAAAGAAGAAAAAATACCTCTAGAATATTGCAGTCACTTGGTTAAGCTTTGTGGTGAAATTCCTAAACCTCAATGGTCTGACCGCTTGCTCCCCTTTTTTGTTTAATTTGTGGATGGGTGTGTGAACTTAGGGCAGCTCCAATGGGGGTGTAATGGGGAGCCATTACACCGCTCCATGACACGGCTCCCCATTGGAGCCGTGTCATGGAGATTACACGCATCACATGTATGATGCGTGTAATCCATTGAATGTGGGCCCTATGGCAACGGTAAAATTCCAGCACAAAACACATTTAACATTTCCAACGGTTATATCCAACGGCACTATTTTTAGAATTCTATATAAACACACAACACTTTTTGCTAAAACATATCCCAATATTCTACTCTATTATTTCTTTTATTCTCTCACACACTTCTACTCTCTCACTCATTTAATTCATTTTTTGTGATTATGGATGAAAATTGGAGTAGTTTTACAAATATGTTAAATGCTCCAAATATAGAAAATTCATCATCCTCACAAAATCAAAACCCCCAAAATATTATGTTATGGAGTTCAACTAATTACATTCCGAATTATTAATTAAGTATGGATTATTATGATATCTTCGCATTTGAAGTATCAAATATTTGTTTAATTTCCTACATAATTATTTTTAAAAAAATAGCAATATATTATTTTTGAAACATAGAAAAAGATATATTATTCAAACTTAAAAATTAATAATATCATTTTTAGAAAATAAAAAAAATTCAAAATGTACAAAATTTAACGAAAGTTAGTACTTTATTTTTTAAAAATAACAAAATTAGTTTTAAAAATTACTTTATTTATTTATGGGATATGAGTTATGCATTATTAAAATAAATATTTGATTAATTGTGGACCCATGCTATTACACCTTGTGGAGTGTAATCCATTGTGAGTGAAAGTGTAATAAAAGAGGAGAAAGTGGAATGCTGACGTGGCATGTGGATTACACTCCACAAAGTGTAATAGCATTGTGGATGCTCTTAAGAGAGGCAAAAAGGGCCCGAGAATTGGGGTATTGGGTTTGAGTTGTTTGGTGTTTTTGTTGGATGTCTTCCTTCTCCTTCTTTTGTTGTGTAGTGTGTGATAGTTTTTTTTTTTTTTTTTGACGGTCCAAATTGAGAGAGAGCCGAGAGGTATAGAGAAGAGAGTCTTTGAGGGGAGTTTTTTCTTCTCCCCTTGTCTTGAGAGGGACAGGCCGAGAGATGTTGGGAGGGGAATAAGTTTGGTTCTTCAAATAATGAAAAAGAAAGGTGCCTGGAAATGGATTGTAAAAATGGGTTAGTAGTGGTTTTGGTAGGAAAAATGATTAAAATGTGTAAGTTTAGTTATAATTTGATTTTGATTTTTGCTTTTGATTTTTTTTCATAATTTTCTTTTCTTAAAATAAACTTACAAAAATGAGAAAAAAAATATACATTAAAATGCAAGAAAATAAATGACTCATCAAATAGAAAATATTCAAGATAACATAAAAATTTGGCAAAAATTTGGTGTCTACACAAATCAAATACATATGAATTGGTTTTCATTCAACCACTTATATGGTGGAAATTTTGGCGGCCATGTTTGGATAGCACTTTTTGTTACAAAATAATTTTTTTGACTTTTTTAAAATTATTTTTATATAATTATCAATCAATTTTTTGACTCATATATATAACTATAAAAAAATTACATATGAATTGATTTTCATTCAACCATTTATATCGTAGAAATTTTGGTGGCCATGTTTGGATAGCACTTTTTGTTACAAAATAATTTTTTTGACTTTTTAAAATAATTTTTATATAATTATCAATCAACTTTTTGACTCATATATATATAACTATAAAAAAATAATAATTAAAAAAGAACTCTTCAAAAAATGCATTCCAAACAGGTTCGCATTAAATTTTCATTTTTTCCTTTTGACTTTTGGCATGGAGATATGGTTGCAACAAATTTCCTTCCTTTTAAGATTCTTCCCCCTCGTACTAATTGCAATGGTGCAGTTCATATTATATCCACAATTTCACTTGATTCATCATCTCTGAGGCTGGAGGAGGCCTCTAGCCAACAGAAGTTAGCTACTGCCTTTTGCATGGCAAAGTGTGTACTCTACTAGCCTCCAAGTAGGGGGGGGGGGGCCCTTAAATCGGTTGTTATGTCAACCACTTGTGTCTGATTTTGTTCAATTTCACAAGATGTATATTTATTTTTTTAAGGTGTAACTTATTTTGAACACAAAATAAATATATAATAAAATTTTTTAGGTCTCACACACAACATGAAAAATGATGTACATGTAATAATTTGAATCTATTATATATATTTTGGCCAATCATGGCTGGAAACTAGGGCTGCAACTCAATCGAGTAGTTTGACTCGAGCTCGGTCGAAGTCAAGTTCGAGCTACTCAATTGAGTCTATGAGTCAAGATCGAGTAGGGATGTTGCATACTTGAGAGATCATTGAACTCTATCGAGTACTCGTTATAATATTAATTAATATTATAAAATTACCTAAATTATTCCTCCAGTTGGAAATTCTTTGACGAGCCCAAATACTTGAGCTCGATATTGAACTTGAGTACTAACTCGATCTCCAACGAGTCGAGCTTGAGCGCAATATAACTAATTCGAGCTCGATAGTGTGTCTGAGTATCGAGCTCGAGTTTGAGTACGAGAATATTTGAGTTCAACTTGGTTTGATATCACCCTATCAGGAACCACCCCATTTCCCCTGGGAAAGCTGGAATGACCAAGCATTTTTCAATGTTAACTACAGTAAGAATCATCTCTCTATGCATCCCTTGTATAAAAAAGTCTCAATCATTCACTGCATACAATTATTTGGATCAATAATCTTTTTGGTCCCTTTTCTCATGCATTGCATATTCTACCCCTTTCCTGAGTCAATTTCTTGGGTTAGCCACAACATGTGCTTGCTTCGCTTGGGCCTTGGTACACGGATTGTGGAACATACAACAGTTTGTATGTGGGAATCCAACAACTGGAAAAGTGAACACGATAGGATTTGCCTATTTTCAAACGCTTGTAAGGGCAGAGTAGGTTGTTGCCGCTGTCGAGGGGAAAAAAAGTTCAAACGCCTGTAAGCAAAAGAGAGGAAAAACAACGAGGACAGTAGCAATGATGTGAACTATAGTTCAGTTCATCTGAAAAGCTGAACCACAACATGGATTCCTAAATCATCATCTACCTGAGAGATCATTGATACATGACAAGTAACACAAGTAGATCGCAATTCACAAGCAAAAGTCATTTCCCCTTTCCAGCCTTATTATTCTCCAATTCAAAATGTTCAATCATGCTTCGCATTAGCAATATCGTCTTCTTTTTTTTTTGTCCTTCCTGCAGTTTGGTAATGGCTGGTACAACAACACAAGTCCAATTGAACTTCTTTTCTTAATTTGAAATGCAGCCAAAATTAGCCAAAAAAAAAAGAAGGTATTGTTGCATGCTTCACGGGATTTAGAAAAGGTGAAGGTTGTAGAGAATGCAGTGCCACACCAGCACACCTTAACAATAGCATGTTCTTTGCAGGACATTTTTGTTTTACACCACCTCAATCAGCATACTGGTGATCAATAACATAGCTCATAGAATGTGGTACAAAGAGGGACAAGTGCAAATTATCAGTTATCACATGAGAGTGGGGTTCTCAACTTTTCTTGTTTAGATTTTACAGCAATCAAGTTTCTATTTTTTTTAGTATCAGTGGGAGAACTCAAATCCCGGACCTCTCAACATGCACTCCCTCCTCCATATCATCCCGTTCATGCAGTTGTTGATGAAAATTTTTGACTTTATGCGGGTCGACCTCTAAAATCTTATCATCCTAAGCTAGTGCTTACCAATGTATATCATGGTGATCATCCTAAGCTAGTGCTTACCAATGTATATCATGGTGAGTAGAACGTTTGGATCAATGCGATTTTAAGTTCAAAACGTTTTACCTAACAGGATATTACGTATCATTTGATCAAGGCGTCGTACATTTTTTTTGTTCTTATTTATTCTCCCTCTTAGATATAGTTGGATTCCCTGTCAATCGTTTTCAATACAATTCATGGATCAGGTCATAATATGGTAGGAATAACTAGTGTCATGGGCAATCTGCATATGCTATAAGCGACATCGCAACAGTGATAAAATTGGGCAACTTCTGACCAGGCTAAAATTCCTTCACATGGGCTGAATTGAATAGCTCGAGAACAAGAAAGAGTGGAGCTTTTTCATCATGGAACTTTTCAACGCATTGCCTCTTGAAACTGATTGAGACGCTTGTGAATTTAATCCCATCATCTTCTTCCATGATAGGGGCCATTCCTACTTAAATTCTGCTCCCTGCGATAGTGGGCCTTGAGAAAAAAAGAAACAAATGATTGTCGCCTTTGAAAGGAACACCATTTGTTTTGGGTCATTTATACCAACCTTTGTGGTAAATCTCATACTAATTACACAGATCTGTCTTTAATCTTTTCTGCAAATTACCTGACCTCCCATCAACTTGTTCTTTTCAGTTTCGGATGTTTCTTTAAAATGTTTAACTGCAGGAAGGCGATGGTTTTAATGGAATTTTCGTAATATTTACTTCTCTGTGAAGTCCATGCATTTCAGCATTGTGCATTTTCTTTGATTTATTTTGTGTTTTTGCTTTCTCTTTTTCCTTGAGATTTCATTTTTTGACATTCGGAAGTGATCAGGATAAATGTTGAAATGATGTACTGTCTGCAAGTATCCATCCATCTGTTAAATGAACTGGAGGATCTGCTGTCATCACCCTTCACGGGTTAAAGACTTCAAGCGTTACAGAGTCCGAGTAAATAAGTACTGAGCACCATTTATTACCTCAAATTTGAGAATACGCATTTACTGCCGTTTCAACACTTGAAAATTGAAATCCTGCTGCAGATTGATCACAAATATCCAACGTAGAGCAGCCATCGTAATTTTGTACCATGAAAAACATCAGAAACAGCTGGCTTTCATAAAATCTCCTACTTGCTAGTCGTTTGGTCATTGAGTTGAAAATTCTTCCTCCTAGTTTGCGCCTAGCTGCTTAATTTCGCCATGAACTCTTTTCCCAGTTTGGTGAACATTCGC